AACGCGCAAAAAACTGCGTCTAATGATGTGCTTTTAAGGCTGGTTTGAGAGAAAAAATATCGCTCAACCCACCGCAGCTGAGGGTGACAGTTACGCGTTTTAGCCGAATTATCTCTTCATAAATAGCGAACAAGTGAACTGTTTATGCGACGTCTGAATCTTAAATGGATGTAAATCTAAGTGTATTAATAGCAGCTTGTGCGCATATTCGACTGTTTGGGTTATGTGATAGTGGTAGTCATCAAACTTTCAAAAAAGAAAACAAGATAGTTTAGTAGTATAGTTTATTTCTTCGCCATAGGATATGTGTCATAGGATAGTGTGTCAAAATGACACTTAATTATAGACAATACGAAAGAGTTTTCTATAGTTGTCTGAAGAAACTAAACAGATAAAACAGCTATACTGGATATTTCTTGCTTTTTTATTTTTAGAAAAGAAAACTAGTTTTTTCCTTTTCTCGACTTTAATTTTTTTTTTCTTTTTTGTATTAAGATAAGGACATATGTACGAAAACATTATAATTTTTTGTTCAATAAAAACAAAGAGAGAGAGAGATGAATCTAACATATCTTCAAGATTAAAATCTGTTTTCAATCGTAATAACATATAACAAATGAAGTAAATGACATGTGTGAGAAAATTGGAATTTCTTATAAACGTAAAGGGCATTTCCTTTCTAGTAACAAAAAGAGAATTGAAATATGTTTTTCTCTTACGTTTTTCCGCATTTGGTTAATTGTTATGCTGAACGACATCACTTTCTTTATTGTTTAATGAAAATATAATGGGAATTTTATCATGTTTACGATAAATATTTTTAGCAATATTTCCTAAGAAAAAAAAACCGTCAAGTTAAGTGCATACAGTTAAATTACAATATAATTATGGACATTTTTTAATGTATTCAAATATTTTGAATGCTGGAATCGATTGAACGTGTGCGTTATAGTATCGGAACATTAGTAAGTCACACAAATCTATTTGGAGGACTTTGATATCAAATCTATCCATATAGACGTTCTAAGAATGAGTTATTAATGTTTAATAAAAAAAAAATAACAACTACTATATTCCAAAACTCTTTCATTAAAATTTTACGAGTTTTTCAGTAAAGTTATATATTCAGTGTAAGCATAAAAAGTTTCATTAAAAGTATATTGTTACACTTTAGTTTTAATAATACTCAATACATCGTTGAAAAGTTGTAATAAGTTTATTGTGCCAGAAAAATAGTTTGTTTTTTCCTATGCTCTAAGACATTTCGATTTGAGAAAGAGCAATAATATATCACTTTAGTAGAAAAAGACAATTTTTCTCCAGTCTATAGTTGAAACGTCATTTGAAAAATGACGCGTACGTTATGTGAAAACAAGTTTGTAAGAATAAATGTAAGTCTTCAAGAACATCTGATTATGTGTATATGTAGTTTACGATTAATAGTTGAACACCATCTATTTCGATCGAGGATTACGATATACTTAAGAGTACCCCTCCCGTCATTTTGGGCTTTCCGTAGAAATGCTGTGAAATCAAAACTGAAACTCATTAAGCTTTCATATTTTCAAAATTGATTGGAAACTCAATGGAACACTTTTTCGTTTTTGTTTCAAGTTTTTAACTATTGCCATTCACCAGTTTTCCAGAAAACTCGCTTTGTCATTGGACCACATTGTGACCCCCCTCCCCCCTTAAATTTCATCCGATCGAGTTAAAAATTTTACCAGAGTGTTTAGCGCAGAGGTATAACTTTGAATTTTCTTTTAGATATTTCTTTACCGAGTTATAGGATTTCTAAAATTTAAAAACTTGGTTTTTGAAAGTTTTTCGGTATTTTTCCTGTAATTCGGTAAAGCAAGGTCTACAAGAAAATTCCGAAGTTATACCTCTGCGCTATGACCTTGAGTACCTCTCGTAAAATTTTTAACTCGATCGGATGAAATTTAAGGGGGTCGTAATGTAGTCCAATGAAACCGGGTAGCAAAAAACTAGTTTTCGAGAAAAAATGCATTTTGTACGCAGGTCACGTTTTTCAGGGCATTTGCCACGATGCTTACATCTTCATGAAAACTCATTGGAAAATTCTGGAAAACGAATTTCTAGTTTTTGCTAATATCGTTCAATTTGTTCTGAAGATTTACAATAAAGACTAAAAACAATAAAACTCCCAGTCTTTTAGAAACACTTTATCAATTGGAGCTAAGGCATGTCCGTTGCATTTAGCAAAATAGTATTCGTGATTATCAACAATCAGTAACATCTTTATCACAACACGAACGGAATATAACAGAAGATAAATCATGCACTTTTATCGAATTTTTACAAGATTCTTGGACATTAATTCAAGCATTATTTGTTCGTATGATTTTCATATTATCATCAATTGCAGCTGTTTGGCGTGTTGTCCGAGACACAAAAGATGATAGATTTTGGTACTTATTATTATTGTTACTTTTCCTAGTAATAGAAAGTTATGTCACGGTTTATGGCCGAAAAGGTTATGAATACAAATGGTAATTTTGACACAAAATCAAAATTATATGATCTTTGTTTCTTAACTATACTCTTTTAGGTTTTGTCCGTCAGCGTTCGCTTACTTAATCACAATTGTGCCCTGTATCTGGTTGCTTGAATTACATCACAGTGATCATACGTCAAAATCTGTTTATATTAGTTTACATTCCCGTAATGACTCTGTTAGTTCGTCAATATTACTGCCATTTATATTACAACCATCAACAGAGGCTCCTAATTTATTGTTCGATCAAAAAATTACCAATAATCAACTCTTTTTGAATAATTACAATGGAGTAACAATATCTTATGACAATTCAACAAGTCAATCAGATTTTTCTCAAACATCTGTCAATAATATCATAGAAGAAGATTTTATGAATAATGATGATAGAAGGAACGTTCAGATTGCTTTAGGAATTGAAGAGCTCTTGAAAACACCACAAAAATTTATCTCGAAAGTAAGTGCTACGAAGAAATTAATCTACAGTGTTGTAAAGACAATAGGACTAGATCGGTCCTACGTTTTATCTTTCAATTTCTCTGTTGTTTTCAAGAAACAAGGTAAACGTGTAAACATATGTATTTGCGTGTCTTCCTTTCGAATATATTACCAGAATTTTCTAACACTTTTTTGTTTCTTTGAAAAATCGTTTTTTCAAAAAATAAAATTTTTTTTGTAATTGATTTTTGAGAGATTTATTGGTGATATTGTATTTGAAGCATCTCTGAAACTAGTAGATGAAAGAAGTAAAATTATTTTTATCCTTTTTGGGTATTCAAATTAAAGCGCAGTGTTTGATCTACAGAATAAGACGCTAATAAATGTGCTGGATGCAGGCACAAGTTGCAAAACGAAAATTATGCAGGATATTAGTGAGATTTACATAATAAAAAGCGACATTATTAGCGTCTCATTCTGTAGATCAAACACTGCGCTTTAATTTGAATACTGGAAAGGATAAAAATTTTTTACTTCTCTCGCTCACTAGTTTCAGAGAAGTTTCAAATACAATATCCTCAATAAATCTCTCAAAAATCAATTACAAAAAAAAATTTTATTTTTTGAAAAAACGATTTTTCAAAGAAACAAAAAAGTGTTAGAAAATTCTGGTAATATATTCGAAAGGAGGACACGCAAATGCATATGTTTACACGTTTACCTTCTTTCTTGAAAACAAAAGAGAAATTGAAATCTAAAACGTAGGATCGATCCGATCTTATAGTTTTCCACAACACTGTATGAAAAACAATTTTTCTTTCTCTTAAATGTACAACGTTCTAGATTGACACTCAGTTATCGATAGAAGAATGGAAAATAATTACGGAGCAAATAACCCTCTTAGTTCTTATCGTAAGCCGATGGTTATTGCCAAAAGGAGAATTAACTCGTGAAGAATTGTCACAACTTTTACTTGTATGTAATATCCATTTAGAATTGAATAGATTCTCTATTTAAGAAGAATTCTATTTAAGAAATAAAAAATGTTTTATAAAATTATTTTAGGTTTATATTGGAATTGCAGCAGATATTATTGAATTTTTTGAAGTTTTCAAAGAGAAAAGAGTATGTATGATCTATATATATAAAGAAGAAA